TGTACATACCTATACACACACCAACCCCTCTGTACATACCTGTACACACACCAACCCCGCTGTACATACCTATACACACACCAACCCCTCTGTACATACCTATACACACACCAACCATACCTGTACATACCTGTACACACACCAACCCCTCTGTACATACCTGTACACACACCAACCCCGCTGTATATACCTATACACACACCAACCCCGCTGTACATACCTATACACACACCAACCCCGCTGTACATACCTATACACACACCAACCCCGCTATACATACCTATACACACACACACATGGCGACCCCGCTCTCCATACCTATCGATGGTGCAAGAGTTTAAGTATTTACTGTGTTTACTGTATCTGAAGAGACACATAGAGAGAGGAACACAAGCAGACCAGACACACAGAGTACTGCACATACTTGTACATACACAGACCCCACTGTGCATACCTGAACAAACACAGATCCCATACATACCATACCATACAGCACATACCAGTACATATAACATTATACAGACCACGCCTCACGCACCTGTACACGCACGCACGCACGCACGCACGCACGCACGCACGCACGCACGCACGCACGCACCGACCCCGCTCTACATACCTGTCGATGGTGCGAGTGTTTAACATGCATCGTCGGCTGCTGCTGCTGCTGCTGCTGCTGCGGAGGCTGCGGCTGCGGCTGCGGCTGCGGAGGAGGAGGCTGAGCATCCTCCACGCTGCGTCGCGGGTTGAGCGGCGGCCGGCCGCGGGGCTTCTTCGGAAGCTGCGTCGCCGCCGGCGGACTCTTCACCTTGATGTTGATCGGCTCGGCGAGGATCTTCTGATGCGTGCGCTTCTCAAACGTGTACTTGGGCAGCTTGGCGCCGCGCGTAACCTAGGCAACGAGGCAGAAGACCGATGGCATCACGCGCCGGCATCGGTCGGTGTTTGCTACGGCGGATTTGGACACGCGTCCGCGGGTGAGAGCGTGGAATTGCGGAAGGAAAGGGTGGAGACATTCTGATGTGCGTGCTTCTCAAACGTGTACTCGGGAAGATTCGCGCGTAACCTAGGCAGAGATGCCAACACATATTTGAAGCAATTTGAAGTTTCTGGACATCAAATTAGTAGTTCGAGAGGGTCACGGTAGTGGACCCGAGTTTGCTAACCCCTTAGTCTGGCGATGCCCCGGAAAATTTTTGATTCTGAGATGCAATTCCTGCCATTCTGAGGGGTAAAAAGATGACAATGAAATTGACAAAAATTTTATTTTTTTACCGATCAACAGTGTAAAATTCGTAGTTTGATACAAACTGTGCGTGAAGTGGTGCAAAAAGAATAGAATTCGTTCTAAAATACGGATAAATCGTGTGGTTGCATCTCTGCTAGGCACGGCAATATATCGCACGATCACAGCGTCGATCCGCGCGGTGGTTTGTGACGTTTCGATTTGGAGCGGGCAATTATTATCAAGATACCACAGAGAGATTTTATCCACAGGAGATTACTAATCACGCTAGGCAACGGGCGAGGGCAGACGACAGCATCGAATCACCGTGCAGTATTTGTCGTGTTTGGAGCGAGCGAGTTGTGGAACGCGTCGCGATCAAAGCCAGGGTTTTCTTATACATTAAGAGGCACAGTGGCGCACGTCGCCCGTTGTGAAAATGGTCGGTATTTACGCCGGCCGTTGTCAAAATACGTGTCAACCCAATAAATTAAATAGATCGCAATCGTGCTTCTGGCATATTTATGATTGCGTTTAATTGGGTGCATGTGAGGGCGGGTCTAACACTTTTCGCTTACGGCCTATAAACGGCCTTGAAACCATAATGCGCGCGTTTTTTTCCCAAACTGGCCATTACTTCCTTTGTCTAAGTTTCCCTCGGAAGAAACCCTGCAAAGGTGTAGAAGCTCAAGAAATGCGGACACGCGTCCAGGGGTGAGTGTGGAACCGCGGAAGAAAAGAGTGAGATCTTCTGATGAGTGTGGCGCTTCTCCGTGTACTTAGGCAGCTTGGCGCGCGCGTTAACCTAGGGCAACGGGGGAGGGGCGCAAGTGACGACATGGATCGCATGAAGCGTAGACGGTAAAGCAACAACTAAAGAGCCCCCCTTGTTCCGGTACCTCCTAACCAATCAAACAATTGCCCTGTGCGCTCGCGTTTCGATCCAACATTTCAGTTCAGAGATTCAAAGCGCACTTACAGAAGGGCGAACGATCGACAGATTCGTTACTCGTCCGAGTGCGATAAATTAAAATGTCAAGCTAAACACACATCCGCGTAACATGAACCCTCACGAAACACACGCTGGCACGATGACACAGAAAGCAAGGAGCTACATATAACAAGGAGAGGAATGCAGATGCTGTGTGAATTTTTTGCCAATCGCAAGAGCGCCATCTCATGGACGGCACATAAATTCAGTGAAACGGTTGTGCAGACAGAACCGCAGAGACAATAGATAAACTAATCTGTCTAGGGTCTCCGGCGGGAACCAAATTTGGGCCAGATATGGCGGCGTTCGCTGGCTCCTTGTTATATTTAGCTCCTTGACAGAAATGATCCATTGTTCAAAGACCAACAAGCGTTCGTGGAGCAGATCGGCGAGGTGGAGAGATTTATCGGTGAGTGACAGAAGGAACGCAGGGTCGATGGCTCGACCAAACATGGCCGACCACCTACCATCTCCGTGCGCGGCGGCAGGAAGTGGTCGTACTTCCTCTTCCGTCTCAACATCTTCGGCCGCTGGTCGTACGCCTTCGGCTTTCTCACCACCTCCCGCCTGCCGTAGGTGCTGCCACCTACGCTGTTGCTCTCCGGAATGCTCTCGCTGGAGTTAGACATCTTGTCGTCTCCTGCAGACCCAAGATGGCCGACGCAATCAGTGCAATAACAATCTCGAGGGGGGGGGGGGGGGGGGGGTGATGAATCATTATCTTATATTATTATTATATTTTATTTATTTATTATAGTAATTATATTATTTTTATATCATGTATTTATATTTATTATTATATTATATTTATTTATTATAGTAATCATAATATTTTTATATCACATATTTACATTTATTATGATCTTATACTTATTATCATCATCATTATATTAATTTCTTCACTTAAATCGACCGAGTTACGCATGAGCAAAAGCGAAATGAGTTTTTACGAGTGTTTTACGAACACCATCGGCTATTGTTATCTTATCGCACCGCGCAGGCAGACGCACGCCTACCGTTGGCAGACGCCACCCTCCTTGTCCTCCTCCTCAATCTTCTCCGCCCGGCTCTCCTTCCCCGCTGCGCCCGGCGAGCGGGCGTCTGCCTCTCCTTCTGGATTACGCGCCAATCGCTTCCTCTTCTTCGCTCCCGCGGTCGCTTCGGTCGCGATAGGTTCGTGTGGCCCCCTGGTGGATCGACCGGGGCGCTTTTTTCTTCCGCCGCGTAGTAATACGCTGCGCCAAAAAAATAGGGCGGACGCCGCGTCCCGGTGAGTACGAACGTGCGTCACGCAGTCAACAAAGCAATCAACAGTACTAATAGTTATGGCTCATAGGGTCATGTCCCCCAGCGGTACTGCGAACGTGAGGGGGTAGTAGGCGTAGGGCGACTTCCGCTGAGTAATCGTTAGTGAGTAGCGAGGTACGTCCGGCATATAGATAGTACGGAGGGTAATTCGGCGGTATAACCGGACGCGTAACCCAGGGTAGCGTCGGCGGCAGTACCCTGGGATATAGACCCCTCTCAGCATAGTTAGCTACTGACAAACAGCTTACATGCCATACAAGGCATGGGTGGGCTAATATAAACAAAGTGGTTATCCAACGATGCCTCAACTCATCCAACAAGTATGAAATCATTAGTACACATATAGTTGCACTAATATGGAAATTATAGGACCGCCTCCCCGCTTCCAGCACTCTATTTATTACAAATGATAGCCGAAGTAAAAGCTCTCACTTGCTTAACTTTTATTAATAAACCCAAAGAAAATGTCAATAAACACCAATGAGGAGGATGCCCTTCAATATTTATATATCAATTCGATTATATTATATATTCGATTTAATAATACTCGATTAATTTACAACAGTTGAAGATTTAGAAAAATTAAGGCAACTTGCGCAAAGTCATCCAACAAACAGAACAAAACCAAACACTCCACTGTAACTTGGGTCCTTGGTGACTGCGAGCAGTCTCAGGACAGTTTTGTTGACAGAAGTGCCGGCGCCCGAACAGGTAGGGGGCAGCACTCGTAGCCTTGATGCAAAAACTAGCTGCCGGCACGAATGTTCTCCACCTGGTGCGTGTGTCTTACAGATCTTCCACTGTCGCACGTAGCGTCTTACGCCTTGCTACCTGCAGCAGCGACGACAGATGACGGATGAGGAAGAGGATGAGGATGAGGATGAGGATGAGGACGAGGAGGAGGAGGAGGAGAGGAGGACGCGAGGAAGATGAGGATGAGAGGAATGAGGAATGGAGGATGAGGATGAGGACGAGGACGAGAGCGAGAGGAGGAGGAGGAGGATGAGGAAGATGAGCGATGAGGATGATGAGGATGAGGTAAGATGAAGAGAGGATGTTTGATGGAGGATGAGGATGAGGATAAGGATGGGGGATGAGATGGGGATGAGGATGGGATGAGGATAGGGATTGAGGATGAGGGGGATGAGGAATGGGCATGAGGATAGGGATAAGGATAAGGATGGGGATGAGATAGGGATGAGGATGGGGATGAGGATGGGGATAAGGATAAGGATGGGGATGAGGATTGAGGATGAGGATGGGGATGAGGATGAGGATGAGCGATAGGGCTGAGGATGGGGATCGAGGATCGGGATTAAGGATAAGGATGGGGAGAGGATGAGGAGAGGATGGGGATGCAGATGAGGATAGGATGGGGAATTGAAGGATGGGGATCGAGATGAGGATAGGATGGGCGATGTGAGGATGGGGATGCAGGGTGGGGAATGAGGATGAGAATGAGGATGAGAATGGGGATGGGGGATGGGGAATGAGGATGAGGATGGGATGAGGATGGGGATGAGGATGAGGCTGGGGTATGAGGATGAGGATAAGGATGTTGATGAGAATAAGGATAGGAAGAGGATGAGGCATGAGATGAGGATGAGGATGAGGATGGCGGAAGAGGATGGGGATGAGGATGAGATGGGCGATGCGGATGAAGATGAGGATGAGTGATGCGGAAGATGAGGATTTGATGGGGGAAGGATGAGGATGAGGATTTGAGGGATGTTGATGAGGATGAGGATAAAGATGGGATGAGAGAAGAAGCTAGCAAACGCGGTGATGAGACGATGAGAGGTGAACAGTGAACGACTAACATGAACTGCATTAACTGACTTGATGATGAACAGCAATACAGTAAAAACCCGTATAAGAACCTAGATTTTTAAGAACATGTTAGCTAAAATTTCCCATTTAGAACCCCTTTACATAAGAACCTGTTTTTAAGGGCTAGAGGATTTAAAGTAGGTTCTTACATTTTCCATGCAGATGAACCGACTTAAAAGAAACACAGGTCAAATAAAAAAGACGGACTCACAATATCGATGCAATAACAATGCCAATCAATGCTGCAGAATAACAATGCCCAGGCACCATGGATTGTTATTGAGACAGCCAGTACTGCATTATTTACATATACAGTAAAAACCCTCATACAGAACACAGTCGATTAAGAACACTCAGGCTGAAATGCGTCAAAAAATTGCATATACACCCTTCACACACTTCACTCGAAAAATAATGTATTTGTAATTGACATCTCAACCAATAAAAAAACAAACATGTGGCAACAACTAAACTCTCGCATATAACACCGTACACATAATCACTACTGTACTGGTAACAGCATCATGCAAGCAGTCAGATTTGCTAGCCGCGCACGTAAAAAGCGCGGGTTTCAGCTAGTACAATATTAAAAGTAGAAACAATAAAGGCATAATTCGACATCGATTATGCTAAAGTTGAGCGAATTGCTACAGTAACTGGCACTTGTGTAGTTTAATTAAGTACATTACCTTATAGCCAAACGCGATATTAGTTTGTCAATATCACTGCTAATTACTAGAAATGTCTTAATTGAAAATACGTAAATTTGGTAATCTGGCGACAATAGCTAACATTTATTACTAACAAAATAAACATCGAGTTCGTTCGGTGACGTCACACTGTTGCTACATGGGATGTTGAGGCATAGAATTTCGTTTGTCCCGGTAAATTGTTTGGCCTAGTGTTATTATTTGCCTAGTTGCCACATACTATATGTTAATTGTAATCGCCTCAAGAACTTCGTATATTCATTTTATTCCGAATCCCAAAGAGTAAAACCATAACGTAACGGAAATGGGCACTCAAAGACTACAAGGATCGAAATCATGTACGGCGCGAGCCATACGTGCGAAAATGCCGGTGCACTATAAATCTGTATGACACGGCTCGCCGGTTTTCGGCCGGTTACGGCGCGGCATGGCAGGTTTTGTAACTGTCACAACCGATTTCTTGACTGCGGATTTCAAATTAGACATCTTTCTTAGTAACCAGCAGTGATATTGGGACAAACTGAATACGCGTTTGGTTATAAGGTAATGTACTTATTAACTACATCAAGGTGCCTAGTTACTGTATCAATTCCCCCCCATGCATTCGTCACTTTGCATAATCGATTGGTCGAATTACTGCCTTTAAGAACCTATTTAAGAACGTTTGAGCCTAATTTTTCAGTAAGCAGCCATTTATATAAAAGAACATGTTGAGGCTAACTTTGGAAAAATGCTATGGTTTCTTATAGCGCGGTTTGTTACTGTAGTCAAAGAATGCTGCCCCCACATGCACGTGAGCAAGAAGAAACCTCCCGCTCCCCTCTCTCCTGAAGCTCCTCCTGCCTCCCTCCTCTCTCACTATCACTGGGCTTTCAGGCAGCGAGACTGCGTGGGGCATGCTGGGCTGGCTTCCCGTCAGCTGAAGTTCCCCGGAGCAGCGGCGGCTCGACTTGTAGGCCTGACGGCTGGATGAACATGGAGAGAACTCCTTCATGACGAGGGATGAGCAGGGGCGGCCCGAACGCAGCGGCCGGGCAAGCTCGCGATGCGGCGCGCTTGCTCAGGTACGGCACCAGAGTAAGCACTTGTGGTGAAGTAGATCTTGGGGGCACGTCACGACTTTGCTGCTGACCTCGATGAATGAACTTTGAATTTTTGGGTTCATAGATTTGATAAAAGATCAATCTGCGAGAGGACAGTGATAGGAGGCAAGGATTGAGGTCGTGCAGAGGAGGCAGAGGAGGAGGAGGAATGAGGAGGAGGGGGCAGAGGAGGAGGAGGAGAAGGGGCAGAGGAGGATGGAGGAGGAGGAGGGCAGAGGAGGGAAGATGAGGAGGAGCAGAGGAGGGAGGAGGAGGAGGAGGAGTAAGAGGGAGGAGGAGGGGCAGAGAGGAGAGAGGAGGAGGAAGAGGACGGAGAGGAGGAAGAGGCAGAGGATGAGAAGGAGGAGGAGGAGGTAAGCAGAGGAGGAGGAGAAGGAAGAGGAGGCAGAGGAGGAGGAAGAGGAGGAGGCAGAGAGGAGGAGCAGAGGAGGGGAGGAGAGAGGAGGAGAGAGGGAAGGAGGAGAGAGAGGAGTAAAGAGAAGCACTTGTGTTGAAAGTAGATCGTTGGGGCATCCACAACTTGCTCTTACCTGCACGATCATTAAAATTAGAATTTTGTTCGTTAGATTAAAAAAAAAATATGGATCTGCGAGAGGGCAAGTGTGACACAGGAGAAGGCGGTTGGTGAGGAGGAGGCGAGGGAGGAAGGTGGGGGAGGAGAAGAAGGAGGAGGTTGTGGGGGAGGAGAAGCATGGAAGAGAAAGGGAGCGAGGAGGGAGAAGTGGAGAACGAAGCACGCAGGAAATGCGCACACAAATCATGTATATATCAGGAAATCACCTCGCGCCTCATCCACACCCCGTGGCAGCCCTCGCTCCTTCCTCCAACCTCTCGCCTCGCTCCTCCCATCCCCGCACCGCCACCCCCTGCCCCGCGACCACTCACCCATCGGCCGTCGCCACGGTGTCCATAAACCGTGGGCGAAAAAAAAGAGCGACTGCATCAAGAAAATCTCCTCGCCTCCCCTCTCACCCCCAACCCTCTCTGCTCAGCGCAACAAAAAATCGCTCCTCCTGCCCCGCAACAAAACACCCCCGTCAAAAAACGCGACGCGATCCGAGAGACGCTCAAGCGCCGTCCATCACGTGCGAGTAGAGCGCGTGCGCGCACATCTCCTCTGGGAATCTTAGAGATATATGGAGACGCTTCCCGCGGAAGCGAGGATGAGGAGGCTAAAAATATAACTTGGCGCGGTGGCTTCAGAAGGTAGCCGTTGCTCTCGCACCAGCCGACGGGGAAGATGTGCAGGACGACTGGCGACCTCCAATCAGATGTGGTTTCGTACTGGCTTCGCTGATGTGTGGCAGCACGATAATAGACATCATATATTGAATATAGATGATGGATGGATGGATGGGAATGGATGGATGGATGGATGGAAATTAGAAGGATGGATGGACGGATGGACGGACGGATGGAGGATGGATGGATAGGTACAGATTGAAAGACAGATAAAAAGAAGAGAAGCCGAGAGGGCAGGAGGAGCACGGAGGAGGAGGAGGAGGAGGGAGCGAGGAGGAGGGTGAGTAGCGAGAGAAGGAGGAAAAAGAGAAGATAGAGAAAGAGGAGGAGCAGGAGGATGAGAAGAGGAGAGGAGGGCAGGAGGAAGAGGAGGAGCAGCAGCAGCAGGCAGGAGGAGGAGCAGGCGCGAAGGAGAGGAGGAGGAGACAGGAGGAGGGTGAGTCGAGGAGGAGCAAGCAAGAGCGAGGAAGGCAAGCAGCAGGAGCAGGAGGAGGAGTGACGAGGCCGGAGAAAGGAGGAAGGAGGAGACGCTCTTACCGGCTGCACGGCTGACGTTGCTTTCTATGTGCAGCCACACGAGGCGATCGATGATCTTCGTTATCGTTGCCACGCACACCTGGTTCGGCTGATGCGGGTTCACTGCCTCCAGCTTCATGCCCTTCTCAAAGCCGTGATGCTGCGGCATCTCCTAACGAAGCCATACAACATATAATCATAAGTGAGAGGAAGGAAGAACGTCTAATGTAACACCTAATCACGTCTAAAATCTAGTCTAACCACAAAGTCCGATAAGAACGATCCAAATAAAAGAAGAATGAATAAAATTAACTTTCGATTCAAGTTTGATGAAGGGTCAACTTCTAATGTCACTCCTAATGTCTCACATCTAACATCAAGTCTAGCTTCATCAAGTCAAAAGCCGTAACGCTGCGGCACCTCCTAACGAAGCCATACACCATATAATCACGCGTGAGAGGAAGGGTTTAACTCTGACATCTAACATAAAATCTAACCACAAAGTTTTGGGATGATTATATGAAATGATATGATTGGACACAGTTCGATACGTATAATATTTTTCATATAGAACATCTCCTACATAAGCCAGAATGTAAACACGTGTGAGAGGAAGGGTGAACTCCTAACGTCTAACATCTAATATCAAGTGTAAAGCCGTGATGCTGCTGCATCTGCTAGCAAAGCAACACACCCCAGAATGTAATCACGCATGAGAGGAAGAGTTACACTCTGACACACGTAATGTCTGCCATCAAATATGTTAGCCAACAAAAGTCCTTTTCGCCTTTACATCCACCACCAAATATCACTCTAAACACCGAAAATAATAATTCTCTTGGAAGTTTTTACATTTTTCGTAGTACAGTAGTAATATCGCATGCATAATATAGCTATATAATATCCTATATATAATAGTAAAATACAACGATGCCCAGTAGAATTGCTGCTGCCAGGCGATATTGCGATGATATTGCAGTAATATTGCCAGCGATATTGTGGTATTGGTTGTATTTGTTGTTTTGATGTCGTTAGTTTTGTTTTGTTTTTTTGTTTGTTTTGTGTTTGCCGGGCTGCAACAGTAGCGCCACCTACATAGCTGTACAGTTGTTCGGGCGCGCAGTGCGCCGCGCGCTCAGCGAGGTAGCTCGCCCAGCTGAAGTCCGACGCCTTGGTCGCGCGGTGCTCCGCGGCGCCGCCCTTGTGGAAGCCGCGCGGCGGGGCGAGCCGGATGCCGCGTCTCGCGGACCAGTGACTCGGGAAGATGAAGGGCGAGGCGGCGTGGCAGCACTGCTGCACGAGCTGCCGCTCCGCCGGAGGTCGAAGGTCGTCCGCCTCGACGACGACGAAGTACTTACTCACCACCTGACGGAACGACGGAGATAGATGGGCGCCGATTAGAAGAAACAACGTGGTGTGTGTATACATAATAATATATATTATAGTATATTATATATATATATATATATAGTATATATATATATATATCAGGGGTGAATAACGACAAACTTCATAATTTAAATAATTTTGATAAATTCAAATAATTTGTCATTATTCGCCCCTGATATATAAATATATATATATACATATATATATATATACATATATGTGTATATGACACACAATCCTTCAACAAGAGTGATTGCAATGAATACCCATAGTTTGATTACACATTGGCAACGAACTCCTAAAGGCCGGCGTTCTCCGCCGGCGTTCTCCACCGGCAGCAGATCTACAGATTAATGTCAAGCAGCGTGACGCAGTACCTGAGTTACGGTTGCCGGGCACAGCTGGTTCCTTAGCAACGGGTGCAGCATCTCCATCTTCATGCCGACCTTGAAGTGATGGGGCTTCAGATTCGACAAGTCCTGCAACGAGAGAAGCACGTGAGTCGAACACGGAGAACGAATAATTAGGAGGAATCGTCGTTACGACTGGCCTAACGAGCAACTGCTTGGTGCCTTAACGAATTCAACTGCAATTGCAAATAAGGTCAAGGTCTAGATCAAATGTCACAAACATCATGAATAGTCATAATTAACGTCATAAGGGGAAGGATAGCACTCCACGAAAAAGGCTATTCAGTAATGGACTTGTACTTCGAGGTTGGGTTGGGGTCATGGTCAGGGTCAGGGTCTAGGTTATGGTTAGGGTTAGTGTTAGGGTCAGGGTCAGGGTCAGGCAAGGGTCAGCATTAGGGTCAGGGGTTAGGGTCAGCATTAAGGTTAGGACCAGGGCCAGGAGTTAGGGTCAGCATTAGGGTTAGGACTAGGGCCAGGGTCCAGCTTAGGCCTAGCATTAGCATTAGGGTTAGAATTAAGGTCATGGTTAAGGTTAGGGTCAGGGGTTAGGGTTATAATTAAGGTCATGGTTAAGGTTAGCGTCAGGGTCAAGGTTAAGGTTAGGGTCAGGGGTTAGGTTTAGG